AAATGTTTGTTTTTGACATAAGGGCATACATATTCAGCTGATGCTGTATGTAAAAAACAAACATTAAAGCAGGTTTTTTTTCAGGATTTTCTCTTGGGTCCGTTTTTGCAGAGAAGATTGAGTTTAGCTGAACAGCTGGGGTGGCTGCACCCCCCTCCCCCCTACCGGGGGGCTGACACCTGTACTCAATAAATGTAGTTGAGACGGATTGTGTTAAAGCAGGGGCACTAAGAGACACTAAAAATTGGTTAAAGATGGCGAATGCATAGTTTTTCTTGTGTTGTGAGATGAATTCCAGCCATTTTTTTTTAATTGACAGGTTTCCAACTGAAAGCTAATTTCCACACGTCACAAATTTAGCTCAAACAACTTCATTTTTACTGCACTGAAACTTTGGTGAGAAGATTGAGTTTCAAAACTCAATTCAAGATTGAGTTTTTGGGGCCGTTTACTGTAACGGCCCTAAAAAATCCCTGAAAAAAAACCTGACTTCAGTGAACTTTTGTGTTGTGGGGTTGCGAATCTTGTGAAACCGTACTGCTGTAACTGCCCAGACTAGTTATTTATCTTTATAACAATTGTGATATTACAAATCCTAACTATCGTTATCTTAACCCACCCTGTCAACTTTCCTTGTGGTACCAGAGTGCCCGGAGAAAACCCACAACTTCTGGCAGAGCAGAGAAAACCCACAATTTTTCACATGAGTACATATAGTGAGAATCGAAGCCACAATCTCAGAGGTGAAAGGTGCATGCATGCTCTGACGACTGCGCCACTGAGGCCCCTACGTTTTTACTAGTTTACTGATTTTTGTAGTATATTATGCATATTTTAAAAATACATGTGTTTCTTCTTGAAAGAGCAAGTATTTTCTGTCCTGGGTGCATCACGTGCATGTGTGAAGAATACTTTTATTACTACCAGTTATATACAAAAAATTATCCCAATGAAGTCTACAAACCTTTCAAAAGACAGGTTTATTTCCATAGGTGATAGGGCCCATAGAGTGGGATGCAAGGAGTGTTATTGGATTATTGAGGATTATCAAGAATTATTGAGTTATCGGTATAGACTATCAGAATTAGTTAAAGTTCTTTTATTTCCCAATATTGTGCATCACATGTATATAACTGATTTTGAATATGGAAAAAGAACTCTTTATTTACCATGTCGAAGCATGTGCAACATTTTTATACAAAGCAGCTATTACTGCATAGTGGATTGAAAAGTTATTTTATATGAGAAAGATGTGTTACATTATACATTTAATTTTTGTGGCACAGGGTGCTAAGTCATTTAAAGATGTTAAGTACACTGTATGCTAATTTGCATACAAAATGAATAATATCTGATTCGACTTGTTCTAACAATAAGAACTGGGATCAGAATGATTGCGACTTAAAGAATTGGCAATCTAATCTCTAATTGTATGTATGATAGTCATTAGCAAGGAGTGTCAGAACCCCTAACTTGCACCACGCAGGAGAAAACGTTTACATTAAGAAGGGGCAACCAAATCTCCATAATTAATTTATGGAAAATACTTGCGATAGATGAACCAGGCGGAAATCGTAATCTTAGGATAAATATTAATGCCCAGCATAAAACACGTAAAAGAGCCATAACAATAATATAATTTAAAATATTTATTTGAAAGCTAACGTTTCGTCTGAAAGCTAACGTTTCTAAAAGCTAACGTCTGAAAGCTAACGTCTGAAAGCTAATGTCTGAAAGCTAACGTTATTTGAAAGCTAACGTTTCGTTTGAAAGCTAACGTTTCGTAACTGTCCTGTCAACTTTAAGCCATTATTGTACCGCCGCTATGTTGATGACTGTTTCTTGATTTTCCAGTCTGTTGATCATATACCTCAATTTCTCTCTTATGTAAATCGCCAGCATCCTAATATTAAATTCACTAGTGAAGTTGAATCTAGTTCCACACTTCCCTTTCTTGATATCAGCATTTCTCGGAAGAATGGTGTTTTCGAAACTTCTGTCTATCGAAAGCCCACCTTCACAGGTCTGTTTACCAACTTCCGTAGCTTTATTCCTTTTCAATATAAACGTAGCTTAGTTTCTTCTCTTATTCATCGTTTCTTTAGTCTTTGCTCCAATTATGAGAACTTTCATGCTCAGTTAGAACTATACCGCCACATTCTTAATAAGAATTGTTATCCAACTCGTCTTTTTGATCGCTGCGTACGAACATTTTTAGAAAATGTGTCTCAACCCAAACCACCTGTTCATTCTGCTCCTAAGAAAGTTCTATATTTCTCTCTTCCATATACTGGCGCTCACTCTCTTCAAATTCGCACCCAAATCTCCCGTCTTTGTTCCTCGGCCTTTCCCCATCTTAATATTAGATTCGTTTTTCGTCCAACTTTACGTTTGTCTCAACTCTTCACCTTTAAGGACAAAATTCCTAACGCTTTAAGATCTTGTGTTGTGTATTCCTTCACGTGTCGTTGCTGTTCCGCAACGTATTTGGGCCAAACGGTCCGTCACTTGCACACACGAGTTTCTGAACATTTGGGTGTTTCTCCTCTAACAGGCAGTAAAAGCAGCAATCCGACCATGTCTAGTATCCTTTCCCATCTTGATAGCACTGGTCACTCCGCCTCTCTTAATGATTTTAAGATTATTTCTTGTTGTTCTTTTCCAGACGAACTTCTGATTCGAGAAAGTCTTCTCATTAACAAACTCAAACCCTCTCTCAACTTACAGGGCAGCTCGGTTCCTCTACTTCTACTCTGATCCATTCCTCTTTCTACTTTTGTAATATAATATCTTGTAAATAGTTGTAAATTATTCATATTTCTGTGTTTTCCGCTTTAACTCGCTTTGTATGTCATTGCTCTGAAGATGTCGTAAGTTAAAGACGAAACGTTAGCTTTCAAATAAATATTTTAAATTATATTTTTGTTATGGCTCTTTTACGTGTTTTATGCTGGGCATTAATATTTATCCTAAGATTAATTTATGGAACATATGGCAATTGTGGTGTTAATTAAGCAATGACTCGCCTCCCCCCGGAATATCTGTAAACTCTGTTTGACGATTATCCATATATGTGACCATATCTGTGACTTTTCAATTTTTGTATGGGTAAATTTGCCTCTCCCCCCCCCCCCACCCCCAAGAAATTGATTGTTTCCACGGTCTATGAACACGGAAATATTTGCGTAGCATGACCCAAATTGTCGGGCTGGCTTTACCACTGACATGACCATTATTTGAGATGGCCGAATCTGCATGTTCGCCGTTCTGTTACGTTTTGCATTATCTTTTGTTTATAAAATCTATATCAGCTGTTTAAGCTAAAGTCAAAGTCGTGACAGAGTGAGTTGTTATGATAAAGCCCTCTTTCTCTTTCTTAATTCAATTTTCCATTTAAGAATTTTTAATATACAGTATATACTAATATGTGTAATATTTAAGTGCATAAAATCCAAGTTCAACTTGAAGAAATGTTCTGGAATAAGATTTTTGCGGAAACGTTGTATTGAGTCTCCCGATTACTATTTATGCTCCAGTCAGATCCTTTTTCAATCAATTCAAAAGGATCTTGGTATACTTATTACGAATAACCAAAAATGGTCGCCTCATATTTCCAACATTGTTTCCAAAGCAAACCGCATGCTTGGATTTCTACGACGTAACTGCACATATTTAACTGATATAAATTGTCGACGCTCTCTCTATTTGACACTTATTCGTACACACCTGTGTTACGGCAGTGACATTTGGGCACCCCAAACAACATCTAGTGACCTTCTTTGTCTAGAAAGTGTCCAAAGACGAGCGACCAAGTATATCCTTCAAGACTTCATCTAATCTTACACCAACCGTTTAAAGAAACTTAAACTACTGCCTATTTCATACTGATTCGAAATAAAAGATATTACGTTTTTTTATAAATGTAAAGCTGGTTATTATGACTTAACACTTGAAGACTATATACTAGTCCACATTAGAGATCCTCACATTAGAGATCCTCACATTGTTTATATGAGCAGAACCGATGCGCAGAACGGACTTGACTTCCACTTTAATGCATGTTTTGATGTTAATAGGCCAAGGACTTGGAAAACGTTTTGTTCTAAATGTCGCAGTTCTTGTTTTCATGTCTTGTTGTTCGTAGAAGTGCATGTTCTGAGTTTTTGTACGAATGTAATTATGTGATACCGTAAATATGTAACGAGCTATGTATTTTGTTAATTTTACAACCGTTTATAGTATAGCATAGTATAGCGTAGTATTTTCATGTATGGCAGGACTTAATTTGGGACTTTATTAGTCCTGTTGTCTGTGCCTTCAATTTCTTATTGTAAAACTAATAAAAAAAAAGGAAAAAAAAGGTGCCTTGCATGCATGGGTTCTTTTTCAAGAGTCCCGTTCATACCTTGCCTTTTTGGGTCTTCGAATTATTAGTTATTCATTCTTATGTAACTGTTATCCTTAGACTTAATAATATATTGTATGCACTGTTGATCCAAATATATTTGTGAAACCTTTATCACGTATGCGTAACTGGACAGTTGCTGTAGCGTAGTAGAATAAATTTCCTTCTTAAAGTACAGTATATTTGAAAATATGGCTGTATAACAAGCATGACTTGTTCACATATTTAACTATAATATTCAACAAAAGCAGTGTTTTCTAATAAAGAGTATTTTCTCGTCAGCTCGTTTCAAGAAATCGTGGACTTCGTTTGTAAATTACGACTTCTAAAATTCATTCCTTCAAAATTAAAACAAACACCTTTTTTCTCAAAGTAACCAAACCACAAATTAATAAAATTTAAAAAATCAGTGATTATAACAAACTAGCGAAGGAATTAAAACATTAAGCGGTTTTGTGCATTTTTTCGCCAAATGGTTTTCACACGAAACGCTAATAATATATACAACAATGAACCGAGGATCTTGTCTAGCAGTACGTACGAATGACCAAGAATGACCACCAGAGCCGCATGACCACGAGACATAAATGACCAGGAACGATCACGAGGTAAGCATGGCCGGGAACGACCACGAGGCAAGAATGATCAGGAACGACCACGAGGTAAAAATGACCTGGAACGACCACGAGGCAAAGATGATCAGGAACGACCACGAGGCAAGAATGGTCAGGAACGACCACAAGGTAAGAATGACCTGGAACGATCACAGAGCAAAAATGATCAGGAACGACTACGAGGCAAGAATGATCAGGAACGACCACGAGGTAAGAATGACCTGGAACGACCACGAGGTAAGAATGACCTGGAACGACCACGAGGCAAGAATGATCAGGAACGACCACAAGGTAAGAATGACCTGGAACGACCACGTGGTAAGAATGACCTGGAACGACCACGAGGCAAGAATGATCAGGAACGACCACGAGGTAAGAATGACCTGGAACGATCACGAGGCAAAGATGATCAGGAACGACCACGAGGCAAGAATGATCAGGAACGACCACGAGGTGAAAATGACCTGGAACGATCACGAGGCAAAGATGATCAGGAACGACCACGAGGCAGGAATGATCAGGAACGACCACGAGATCAATTACTCAGGAACACTACACCTCTGCTACCATCTATTGGACAAGTTAAGAACTGTCTAAGACACCTAAACCCCAGGAAAGCGACAGGTGTAGACAAAATTCCTGCCTGGACATCTCGCTCCAGTAGTCCACAATATTGTTACTGCCAGTATAGACAGTATAAAACAATACAAGTACCCAACTTACCCAAGCCAACACAAACATGCGTTGATATCCCCAGTTGCCAAAGTCCGGAACCCAAGTGATGTTGAAAATGACTTTAGACAAATATCAGTCATCCCACAATTGGCTAATTTTTGGTTTTCACTCGCGACCGATCTACTCAGTGTTTCTGCTTTAATATCTGCGACACAGAGCTGGTATAATGCCAGAGACATTTCTCAGTCGGGTAGAAAAGGTGTCCATGCCATATTTATAGACTTTCGAAAGGCCTTCGATCAGGTGAATCACAACATCCTATTAGAAATCTAGCGTCTATGAATGTCAGCAAACCGCTATGGATCAGAAGCTTTTTAACCGGAAAGTTAACTTACATGATATCCTATCGTCAATACAACCTTGTCCTTTGGGCGTACCACAGGGCTCAGTTATATAGCCCACCTTGTTTAATGTACATATCACTGAACGATTTAGAGGATACTGTGCCTAATCTTGTAAACATTAATACGTGCGAATATGCTGACGACTACACCCAGTATCAGATTGTTGAAAGGGGTATGTGCAGCTCCATGCAAGAAGCTGTTGATGAGTTAAGTGGATGCATGGGCAGATACAAATAAAATGGCTTTGAACCCGAAAAAAACAAAGGATGTGTGGATTTGTTTCACAGACTCAATCCCAGAACCACCTCGCGTCAAAGTCAATGATGAAGAAGTAGAAAGGGTAAACAGTTTCAAGCTCCTGGGTGTATCATGCCAAAATGATCTTTATAAATGGAATGAACATGTAAACCAAATTACATGTAAGGCAAACAAGAAATTATACCATCTTAGACAGTGTAGGAGATCCCAACTACCAACAGAGGTCGGGTTGACAAATATATCTAAAATTCGACCAGTGATAAGTATGCATCGCCTGTTTGGGCAGGGCTTCCAGATTATCTACAACAAGAAATTGAGCGTGTACAGACAAGAAGTCAAGAAGTCTGAGAATTAGCAACCAGCCGAGAGATCAGAAGGATTCAAGCCGAACCAAACCAACCTTGCCATACCCTACTGCCTGATCCTAGAAAATACCCATATGAACTTAGACAAAATAATTCTTATACAGTTCTTAGACACAAACAATCTTTCATTGCCAGATCTAGTAAATATATATAAATCTGATAACATTCAATTTTGTCTTTTTAACTCGTTTTTAACTATAATTATTGATCTTATTCTATTATGACTTAATGTCAATTCAATGTCAATTCAACTGAATAATAAATTCAAATTTGATTTGAATTTGATTTGAGGAACGCATAACCAGGAACGACCACGATGCAGCCATGACCAGGAATGATCACGAGGCAAGAATGACAAGGAACGACCACGAGGCTGTTCAGCGTTTGCCGCGGCGTTGAATTTAAATCTTCTGTTGAATACTCAATCTAAAAAGAAAAAATCCACTTCTCGACGTTTCGAGCGAAGGCTCTTCGTCAGGAGGTTGAGGGCCTTTATTTGAATTTTGGAACGTCGAGAGCTAGTCTATTTTTTCTGTTTGGATGAGTAGTTGCCGAGAAATTGAACAAAAGGCTAGTAATCCTAGTATTGGTATTACCAGAGCGGGAGCCACAAAACACAAAATGTAACCTCCTGTCCAGGTTCTAATCGAGGTTCTAATCTCGCAGGATGCGAGAATTGCCACATTTATAAATCAGGTACCGGTAATTCGATTTCGTGGAAATGATGTAATATGACACGTCTGCGGGGACTTTTCCTAAAATTTGCAATTCAGACAGACTCAGACAAATCGTATTGTCATTGTTTTTAGTTCTTGTCGTACGTCCCTGATGTAAAACGTTTTGTAACAACGTAGAACCGCTTTAAGTTAATGGGAAACTTCAAGTAACGCAATATTGTGCTGAAACATCGCGTGGTTTTCGTTAAACATGAAAATATCACTTGTTATTCGTGGTCACTCGTGCGTATTTTTTTGACAAGATTATACTATATGTAGCAACTGTGAAGTAAGAATTATAGCAAGGTAATTTATTTTGAATGTTAGGCGCCGGATGGATTCGGAACTGTGTTGAAACTTTGGAGTTCACACTGGACGTAGAGCGGAAGACGAGTTCCCGTCAGTGAACTGGAAGTACGGTTCCGAATTCATTCATGTGAACGAACCGAAGTACTGTGTTATGAGCGTGTAGATATATACGATACGCAGTGTACACTGCATATAATTGTTAAATTATGTATACATATTATATATGGCGGATGACATCAAGTCATCACTATTCTGATCTGTTCCATGATTCTCGCGTTAATCCGGTTACATTCGAGCAAGTTTTCTATGGCAAGTTTTATTTGCCAAGTGCACATCCTATATGTGCAATAAATTTTCTATGACAGAATTTCGCATTTTTGGTTTTCTGACCACTACGAAAGCTGTTATTACCCATTACAACAATAGATCGCTGACCATCGGCATGCAAGTGCTCAGATTACTTTGTTGACCCATACGGACGAGCAAAATTGGTACTTTGACAATTTTTACTGTGACGAGTACACTTGTTCAAAAGCTAGAATGCTAGCTGTACTTGCCACAGTAAAAATTGTCAAAGACAAAGTTGCGTATACAGACGAGCAATTAAAATTGCCACATAAAAACTTGTCATAGAAAACTTGCTCGTCTATAACCGGCTACATTCTATTATTTTTTGTGGTCAAGCAGACAAACCACTAAAAATACAGCTTGAAATAAAGCTTGCATTCATATATTTACTGCTCTTGAAAATTTTCGCACAGACGTACGTTATTATAAATACCGCTGTTATTAAGCATGTTTCCATGCTTGATTCCAGCCGACAATCCAAATAGTGCATCTTGATAATCCAAGATATGGATTAAAATTAGACTGCATGATTTTAATCTTGTCATTCCGTCACGCTTGGCTATGGAGTTTAAATTTGCAACTATTTCAAGTATTTGCATGCAATAGATAATAATATAACTACGAGTTACTATCGCAAGGCCAAGGGGAAATGCTGCCGTACGACCATGTAAAAGTTGTCATCTACACTGACTGAAAGTCAAACAGATAACTATAACCAAAATCAAGATCGTATGACCGAATGGGGTTGACTTATTCGTATTGCAAAAGACAGACTGTAAGTGTATGTCTCATTTTTACTGTGCAATTAAGACAATTTATTCCGCTGCTTTTAGCATATTATCATGTTAACATGAATATATATTATGCAAAGTCTATGTTGGTTTTACTTGACTACCACCGCAAACGATAAGCTTGGGAAATCATTATTGTTGACAACACAAACGCACTATTCGTTTTTATTTATGCAAGACGCGCTATTACACATTACAACGCGCACTAATTTTAATTCTACTGCTATAATGCTATTATCCTCGGGCTCGGTACATGCGACATGAATATAATTTATATATAAAATAGAAAAAAACAGATATCAATTCTACAAACTAATCTAATTCTACGGGAAAGTGCTGATACACGTCGTCGACGATAGGGGCGCACATTAGCGTCCGAATATCACTAAAAGTCGGTCCCATTCTTCCTTGATGCTGTGCGAAAACTCGGTCCCAAAATTCGGGTATAAGAATTAATATTTACTTCTGTCCGACTCCGTGAATTGGGACCGACAACACAAGAGCTGGGTGGTAAGATGTTATGAACAAGCCTATGTGTATGTGTTAATGTGTAAGAAACTATTTCTTGATTTTTAAACGTCAAATCGTAGCGCACCTGCTAAGGTTTAGATGGTTAATTCAGATTATTTATTATCTTGATTTCATTGTTTTGCTAGTTGTTATTATACACTTCTATTTTTCATTATTTTCAGTATTTTATATGGACGGACGAAAGTAACAATTATATTCGAAAAAATAAACTCGTCTCTCTCTTTCTGCTACTATCCGATTTCGCACCTGTGGCCTGGGAACGGATATTCTCATGACAGCTCATACACATTACTAATAAACACGTCCTGGTATTCACACGCGAGCTCATAGGCCTATACATATGTTTTGATTCTTCAGTTCAGAAAAAGACTTATCTGATTCTATTGATCTGGAACAGATTGAACAAATGCAGAAATTGAGCGAACTATTAAATAAGGGATGAATTTTCTTAATCCTTCGTTCATACACCTGAACGAGCCTACCGAAAAGGTAGAGTTAAGACTCTGAAATGGTCGTTTCCGGCGACCTAGAGATTCTAAATGTTGAAAATTTTCTCGCTCGGCGACAACCATGGTGGCGCCTCGTGAGACTTAACCCCCTGATTTCAATACATTCCCACGTCCCTGTTCTGTGGCATGATGTTTTTGCAGAATTGTTTTTTACCCCTCTGTTTAATTTCTTTTTGAATATCAAAAAGTCGGTCCCCAAGTGGCCCACACCCCCCTAGAAATTCCTTAGATGTGCGCCCCTGGTCGACGACCAAAACACAATAGATAGCTTAAGATCTGCGACGTCGTCCTAAATAAGTCGATAGCTCAAGTATCAACGACGTCAAATATCTAGGGCGGCAAGCGGAAGTAAATTGGTAATAGTTTTTGAAGTGTGCATGTGCCTCTCTCTATTTGCTCGTCGTCCACCAAACGTCGACAACCTCACAACAAGGGTTTTACCGTCGTAAATACAAGAGCATAACAAACGGTAATAGTTCGCACGTCTCTTTTAAATTCATTTTCAAAAGGATGTAAATATTTATAGTTTAAATGTCTACGTCGTGAATCTTAAGTGGAAGTTTATTATTTAGGACGACGTCCTAGTCCCAGTCCTCTGCTTAGCCCTGATGTCCTAGTCGACGTCGTAGATCTTAAGCTATCTATTGTTTACTTGTATTGTCTGTATTAAGCAATGATATATATTTTAAGATGTATATATTGTTTACTTGTATTAAGCAAAGATCACACTTTCATCTTACCTTACTGTAATATATATTTTAAGATATATATTTCTAAACTGAAAAATATGATGATACTGATTTGTTGAGCAGTAGGCATGAAATATATGTACTCCTCGTGGCATGGTTATTTTATAAAATGCGCTAAATGCCAACTAAGTATTTTACAGAATTGGAACATTTTCTACGTTTGAAGTACGAGGCGAAGCCGAGTATCTTTAGGTCTGATAAAATACGCACTGCGAATGTTCTAAATTGCTTCAAAAACGATCGATCTAGTAAGTTCATTGGCGAAGTAATTTTCAAAAAATACGTTGTGTAAGTCGAGAAAATCAAAGCTAAAGTTTATGTAAATCAACAGAAATCTCTATCACATATAAAGATACGACACGCTTATGATTTTCCTTTGTGTTTTCCTCAGGGTTTATTTTAAGAAAAATTTAGAACTGCACATATAGGGATGTTACGAAGGCAACGGGTGTTTGACTGGAGGGGGGGGGGGGGGGGG